TTTAAAATGCCATCAAGGTCCTGAATGAAATTCACAGCTAGAACTGCCACTGTCTGAGTCTCCCCAGGACAGCCTGTGCCCTGCAGTCCATGTGAGGCTGGATCATAAGTGGCTTAGGCTCCAATCGTGTGCCCTGGGGCAAGAGTTTCAGAACAGTTCTCCACACTTTACACTGACAAAACAATAAACCTCCTTGGAAAGGTGCCCTGCTTTACAAGAGTGCTCCATTGTGTTTATTCGTTCATTAATTCACTCACTGATTAATTCAGAAGACATACGGAACACAGCCAAGCACGGTCTCAGGACACAGCTTCCACTGAGACAGAATCCCTCCTGTCTAGTACAGGAAGCAGACAGTGCCCAGCACAGAGCATATGTATTAGGTAAATGGACCAAGTAATGGAGAGGGACTTGGAAAAGTGAAAGAATGCAGTAAGAATTAGGCAGTGCTTATGCCCAGCAGCTGCCCAAATTGTCCAACCACATCTGGACACAGAGGGACTGAACTTGCTGATGCCTGAGCCTCCCAGAGTCCCAAGTCTGCCTCTCAGCACCCTCACAGCCAAGGTGTTCCAGGCCAGTTCTTTGGGCTTTGTAACCCAGACGGGGAGGTGGCCAAAAAAGGAGTCCCTGGGAGGACGCCCCAGGGGGACCGGTGGCGTGCAGCCATCTAGCTTGCCTGGGCACTCTCACCCAATGTGCTCTGTTCTGGTGACTTTGCATCCTGTTGATTTTACTAAGTGGGAGCTTTATTTCCAAGAATTCTTTTTCCTGTATGTTTCCAGGTTAGGGTTGGCACAAGAGAAACGTGAGCACACTTTGGAAGACAGACATATGTCAGCTGTGGACCCCGGTCCATGTGTGTAACAGCCTTGTGAGTACATGGTCATCAGCTTCCACAACTTCAGAGGGTGCCTCTACAATAAATTCCTTCCTCCATATCGCTCAGGGTGGGCCTGCTTCTCCAGTAGAGTCCTGATTGGTACAATTATTACTAGTGCTTCCTCCTGGTTTAAATGAAAAACTATGTGTTCACCTAAATATAAACTGATGGGAAAAAGAAGAGTTTTAAAAATGGTTAGTGCAGATTAAATATCCTGTTTACAGAGCTAAAAACACAACAATTTATGTTAAGATTTCTTTTCTGTTGTTGGGGCTTAGTTTCTTTGATCCAGTCTCCCTGAGACTGGACCATTAGGGCCACGGCTTCAAAAGCGAAGCCTAGAGAGAAGTAAGAACCATGGCCAGTAATATCTGAATGAAGGTAGAGGGGAAAGGAGACTCGATTCCTCCCAGCCAAAGCTACCCATATGGCAGAGACATGTCATCACTTCCAGGGATGCCAGAAGCAATGAGATCAGAGACTGGGTACCACCCTGGTCCCATTCGGAAGCACCCCAGGGGGTACTTGACCAGCATACCTGGCTGGTTCTACTTTGTTCTCTTTCCACCCACTCTGTCAGCTTGTCTCAGTTTCGGACTCTAGATATGGGCTCATACTTATCCATGACGCTGTAGGTCATCTGCTTCCCTCGATGGTCTTTAGGGTCCTTTTAAACTCCAGAAGTCTTTGGCAGCTGCCAGAAAAAGGGGGTGCTGGGCATGGTGGCTCATGCCTGTGATCCCAGCACTTTGAGAAGCCGAGGGAGGTGGATCACCTGAGGTCAAGATCAGCCTGGCCAACACATGGTGAAAAAAACATAAAAGCTAGCCAGGTGCAGTGGTGGGTGCCTGTAATCCCAGCTACTCAGAAGGGTGAGGCAGGAGAACTGCTTGAATCCGGGAGGTGGAAGTTGCAGTGAGCAGAAAACATACCATCGCACTCCAGCCTGGGTGACAAGAGTGAAACGTTGTCTCATTTTAAAAAAAAAAAAAAAAAAAAAAAAAGAGGCTGGGCGGCTGCATCTCTACTAAAAATACAAAAACTAGACAGGTGTGGTAGTAGGCACCTGTAATCCCAAATACTTGGGAAGATGAGGCAGAGAGAATCGCTTGAACCCAAGAGGCAGAAGTGGCAGTGAGCCAAGACTGCACCATTGCACCCTAGCCTGGGTGACAGAGAGAGCCTCTAAAAAAACAAACAAACAAAAAATGAAGAAGGCACATGGAACCTTAGTTATAAGCAGAAGTAATGGGGGAAAAAACACTAAGGGATTAGGATTACTTTTTTCTTAAAAAGTGGCTAATTTTGCAGGCTATGTTGATACATGAGAGAGAGGATCCCCATACAGGTAGTTATGAATTCCCAGGTGGGCCACTCAGAGGGCACTTGAGAAAATTAGATTAGATGCATTGCAATGCAGTTTTATCTTGTACAAGATCTGATCTCATACAAAGGCACAAGATGTTTCTTGAACCAAATTAGGTGGCTTGCTTATATTCATGGCTCGTAGTTTTAGCAGTGGTAAATACATATGGTTCTGCAGCAAGTCGATTCTTGCCTCCTGAAGGAAAGAATTTGTCTGAGGGGCATAAGGTAGAGTGAGAGAGATTGAAGCAAGTTTTACAGCAGGAGAGAGAGTTTATTAAAAAGTTTTAGAGCAGGAATGGAAGGAAGTAAAGTGTAGTTGGAAGCCGGCCCAACAGGTGACCTGAGAGATCCAAGTGTGCTGTTCAGCCCTTGACTTGGGGTTTTATACATTGCATGATTCCTGGGTTTACATTGCTTCTCCCGATTCTTACCTTGAGGTAGGTTGTCCACATGTGCAGTGACCCGCCAGCACCTGGGAGGGGCCGTGTGTGCGATATGTTTACCGAAGTTGTGTGTGTGCTCATTTGAGACACTTTTCCTTCCCAGTTGAGTGTTCTAGAGGAAGATCATATATCAGTTAAATTCCACCATTTTGCCTCTGATTGCACATGTTTGAAAGCTTATTGCCCAACTTCTGAAAGCTTATTGGGAAGCTGTTGATCACCAGCTTCAGGTGTTTTCTACCCATTGGGAGATTGCCTTTCACTGGTGCCAGCTGTGACCAATTATTGTTTTAGCAAGACAGTTTAACAACTGCTGGACCATCACCTTATGATCTCCCACCAACATTCCTCGGCCGGGTTGGGGGGGCCCACTCCTGCCCTGCTCACATCTACTTAGCTACCTACTCCAACAATAGTTTACAGGTCCTTTATCTGCAAACCAGAGTCATGACAGTGCCTGCCTCATGCAGTTGTGAAGCCTAGAACAGCTGATGTACACAAAGCACTTTTAACTGTGTCTAGTCAATAGCAAGCTTTCCATATGCATAACCACGATGTTTGCTGTTACAGCTTTAAAGCAAAAATAAAAACCTAATCCCTCCCCTCAACCAACTGGATGGACCCCTCTCTTGGCCAAGAGGACCCAAAGAAACCTGAAAACCTGTCCAGGCCATGATGGAAAGGGGAATTGGACATGCCTCATTATGCCCTCCTCCCCTTAGAGCACAGATACAGATAACCAGCATTAACATTAAAGTAGAGATCCTATGACTGACAAAACAGACTTTGTAGCAATAAGATACCGAATTCCAGCATGACTGTAGTGTAACATCACATGACCGATAGCAGGCCTTGAAGGTAATCAAAGCATTTTACTTCCAAATATACATACATACATATCTATATCTATATCTATATCTATACATACAGATATAGATATATATATAGATATATTTTTGAGGCAGAGTCTCACACTGTCACCCATGCTGTAGTGCAGTGGTGCAGTTTCAGCTCAGCTCACTGCAGTCTCCACCTCCTGGGTTCAAGCAATTCTCCTGCCTCAGCCTCCAGAATATAGCTAGGACTACAGGCATGCACCACCATGCCCAGCTATTTTTTTTTTTTTTTTTTGTATTTTTAGTAGAGACAGGGTTTCATCATGTTGGCCAGGATGGTCTCGATCTCCTGACCTCATGATCTGCCTGCCTCGGCCTCCCAAAGTGCTAGGATTACAGGCGTGAGCCACCACACCCAGCCCCCAAATATATTTCCTGGACATATTTTGAAATGGCCCTGCAAAGCTGTCTCTTGTGGGGAAAATTTTCATCTGTAAAGAGGCCGGGCGCGGTGGCTCAAGCCTGTAATCCCAGCACTTTGGGAGGCCGAGGCAGGTGGATCACAAGGTCGAGAGATCGAGACCATCCTGGTCAACATAGTGAAACCCCGTCTCTACTAAAAATACAAAAAACTAGCTGGGCGTGGTGGCGCGTGCCTGTAATCCCAGCTACTTAGGAGGCTGAGGCAGGAGAATTGCCTGAGCCCAGGAGGCAGAGGTTGCGGTGAGCAGAGATTGCGCCATTGCACTCCAGCCTGGGTAACAAGAGCGAAACTCCGTCTCAAAAAAAAAAAAAAAAAGAATCTCTGTTCACATAACTAGATCTTTCCCCTTCCAGATCCTCTCAATCCTGAAGAGATTATCTTAGAGTTGAGTACCTTTTAAAGGTATGAACAGGAAACATTTGCCATTTATTGCCTCTAACGGAGTTCACCTAGGGATTTCACCTATGTAACAAGAACCTTGGCCTCCATAACCTCCCTCTTATTTTAAGCCCACGCATTTTTCTGTTGACTTCAACTCTTTAGATAAGAACTTAACTCTTTCAACCAGTTGCTGATCAGAAAATCTTTGAATCCACCTGAGTGTCACGCCCCTCCGCCCCGTGCCACCGCCTTCCCATTGTTCCACCTCTCAGGACGGAATGTATACCTCACATGGATGGACTGAAGTCTTAAGTCTCCATGGGTTATAGCTTGATTTTATATATTTTAGGGAGACATAAGACATCAATCAATACATGTGTGGTATATACTGGGCACATGTTCTCAGAACCACCTTAGGCTGTGTCAGAGGTCATGGTCCTCATGTTTGGCTCAGAATCAATCTTAAATATTTTACAGTTTGACTGTTTTCATCAACACCATCATGGTAGTTATAATGCTGAGGCAGAGCTGAGGCTGAACTCAAGCTGCCGGCCTTTCCCTTGCTTCGGTGCTGTTTCTTCCCACCAGGGCACCTGTCAGCCAGGATGCACACAGCTGAGAGCAGCGGGCCTAACTCCAGCACAGTGCTGCACACAGGGGCGCTTAGTAAATGTTAACACAGGGGCACAGGGAGGGGAGCGTTACTTTCCTTCTTTAGTCATGCAGCTCACTGTTTTCTGCCTCCTGCTTGCTCCTTCCCTTTACTAAGGCGACCTGAGTGTTTTATGAGAGTCTGGGCTGCTTTGCAATCTGCTCCTCTCACCCATCAGTGCCCCACTTCCCAAAGCGTTTCTTAGAACAAAGCAATTCATTAAATAATTTACAGCAATACATTTGTTCTCTCAGCAGGTACTCAGTAGCTCCCATTATTCTCTGCTACTTGCCACCTCTTCTGAAATTTAAAGTTCTTAAACAGCAGTAGAACACCCTGCACTTAGGCTGCTGATGGGCTGGGCTCTCCTTCCTCTCCCTTCCTCATCCTCCCTCTCCCACAAGGCTCTGCCAGATGCCTTTTGACAGATGACGGGCTTCTGAGAAAAACAGCTCTAGATCTTTGAGATTATTATTCCTAACTACCGAAGAGTTACTGAGAAAAATGTCTAAGTGCTATTCTCGCCTCATTAAATTATCTGAGTATTTTGAGATGAAAGATTAAGGAGGACTTGCAGAATTTTTCCTTTTAAGACACATTCCGTGATGCTTTTAGTTTTTGTCTTTTCTTTCCTCCTTTTTTTTTTTTGAAGTGGAATTCTTTTAAAAATACATATTGTGCCACTCCTAACATTTTGCAGGAGTTGGGGCAGGCTACTTTATACACCTTTTGAATTTTTGTTAGGATCTGTAGAGACTGAGGATGGAGATTTCACCCGGATCCACCTGAGAGCTGTCAGGCATCCAGCTTAGAGGCTGGCTGGTCGTCCAGGTTGCTCAGGCTTCCAGCCTCTGAAAGCACTTAACCTAATCAGCTTTCAGTTATAAAACTGGGCTCACCAGCACCTAAAACACTCAAGCAACCAAGTGCTTCCCTGAATCTGAGGCCACTCCATCCTCTGCACCACCCCCGCTTGACTCTCTCGGCAGTCTCCAGTAGGGCTTGTCTTTCCCTCTGTCGCTCTGTCCTTTTATCTTCTCACCCCAACTTCCACAGCAAACCTCTCCCTCCTTCTCTTGTTTTCACTATTTCTGCTTCTGGATCTTTATTTTTATCTTTGTAACGCTGTGTTACGCACGGTAACTATGTGAATACTATTGATGGACTGCACAGTATGGGTTTTTTCTACATTTTTATTTTTATGAAAATAATATACTTCCAAGGCAATGCATGAATTATAAGAGTGTAGCTCGGATGGAAGTGGCAGCCTGCGCTTCCCGGCAGCCTCCCACCCTCAGGCTGCTCCCACTGGGTCTGTTTCCCTTTCTACTCACCTCTGGAATCTGGGAAATTACCTCGAAGTTCCTCTTTTCCACTGGAGCCAGAAGATGAAGCATTTCTTGCCATAGCTAAAGCCATGGAGGAAATGGTGGAAGATAGTGTTGACTGTTACTGGATCATCCGATGCTTTGTGAACCAATTAAATACCAAGTACCGGGATTCTTTACCCCAGCTGCCAAAAGCTTTAGAACAATACTTGAATCTGGAAGATAGCAGACTGCCGACTCATCTGAAGATGTGTTCTGCGGTGTCCAAACTTCCTTATGATCTCTGGTTCAAGAGGTGCTTTGCAGGATGTTTGCCAGAATCCAGTTTACAGAGGGTTTGGGATAAAGTTGTGAGTGGATCCTGTAAGATCCTAGTTTTTGTAGCTGTTGAAATTTTATTAACCTTTAAAATAAAAGTTATGGCACTGAACAGTACAGAGAAGAACACAAAGTTTCTGGAAAATATTCCCCAGGACAGCTCGGACGCGATCGTGAGCAAGGCCATTGACTTGTGGCACAAACACTGTGGGACCCCGGTCCATTCCAGCTGAATGCAACCGCTGGTTGTGGACCGTCTTGAGCATTTGTGTTCTTTGCATGTGATCTGGGAAACTGATTGAGTAATAGTTTTCTTGCTTTGGTGCTGAAAGTGATTTTTTTTCCCCAATAAAATTATTTAATTGAAAAAAAAAAAATTTTCAGATAACTGCCTGAACCCAGGCAGTTATCTGAAATTACAAAAAGGATTTAGTACCCCCCACCCCCACCACTCTTCATCTCCTCTTCTTCCATCATGATATTGCACCATTGGATTTTAGTTCTTCGATTGGTTAGCTGGATAACATTGCATAATTGACTTAAATCGCTGCTTGCATTCCTAACCACACAGGCAACAGGGTTAAGCTCTGGGCTTGTAAGCTGGATGTCAGCAGCCTTACTTTGATTTTTTTTCCCCCCTTAGACAGAGTCTCGTTCTGTCCCCCAGGCTGGAGTGCAGTGGCAGGATCTCGGCTCACTGCAACCCCCGCCTCCTGGGTTCAGCAATTCTCCTGCCTCAGCCTCCCGAGTAGCTAGGATTACAGGCGTGCACCAACATGCCCAGCTAATTTTTGTATTTTTAGTAGAGACGGGGTTACACCATGTTGGCCAGGCTGGTCTCGAACTCCTGACCTCGTGATCTGCCCACCTCAGCCTCTCAAAGTGGTGGGATTACAGGCATGAGCCACTGCAGCCTGTCTACTTTGTTCTTAACTTTTCTTCAAACCATGAATTTCTGGGCTTTTTTTTTTTTTTTTTTCTGGAAGTCCTTATTATCTCCCTTTTTCTTGCATTATGTGTCAAGAATCTTGCATTTCTTCCATTATTGTCAATTCTTTTTCAAGCACTACATTGTAAAATTTATGTGTGGGGTCCTTCCTCTCCCTTAGAGACCTCGCAGGGGAGACCTTCCATTTCTGCTTCAGATTGCCCCTGACTTTCTCTCCAGGCTGGTCTGCTACTGCCATCCTTGGACTTCTTAATGCTCTTCTGGGATCAAGCCCCTGTTTCCTTCCTCTTTCTTGGTTTATTCTCTCCTCTGGTTAGAGCAGTGGCCCCTAACCTTTTTGGCATCAGGGACCAATTTTGGGGAAGACAATTTTTCCATAGACTGAGGTGGGGGCTAGGGGATGGTTTCACGATGAAACTGTTCCACTTCAGTTCATCAGGCTTTAGATTCTCATAAGGAGTTTGCAACCCAGATCCCTCACATGCACACTTCACAACAGGGTTCACACTCCTAAGAGAATCTAATGTCCCCACTCATCTAACAGAAGGCAGAGCTCAGGCAGTAACGCTCACTTGCCCGCCACTTACCTCCTGTTGTGTGGCCCAGTTCCTAACAGGCCACGGACTGGTACTGCTCCATGCCCCAGGCGTTGGGGACCCCTGAATTAGAGAATATCCTTAAGAATTCCTAAAGAATGCATGGGATGTAAACTAAGCTCTAAAAAATGTAATTAATCTCCCCTCACACTTGCTAGATTGAACACTATTTTTTGGGACTTCTGGGTTCTGTAATACAATAATCTTTATTTTTGAAAAATAAAGCAGAAATTGAAAAACAAAGTGGTTATAGATGACCTGTCAAGAACACTAAGAGTTTTAGTGATTACATGAAGACAGCAGGGTTAGAACCCCCAATACTTTAGATAAGAAGATGACAAACTAAAAGAGAATATAAAGTAAGCATGATTAAAGAAACAAAAATGGTAGTTAAAACTCAAAGAAAAGAACAAGTATGCAGAAAGGATGTGGACTCCTGGTTCCACTAGGGATACCATAGGAGGGAAAGAGCGGTTTCCCACTCCCCACCCCTCACCTCTACCCCTTATAAGAGCAACAGCAACAACACTGAGAAATAAAAATAAAATCCCAAGCCTCTCAGCTGACGGAATGGACTGGCTCTTGTCAAGGGGACCTCAGAGAAACCTTAAAAACTGAGTTCTGAGCCAGGACAGGAAGGGAGGTCAGCACGCCTTGCTGTACACCACCTTGCTAACCACCATCAGACCTCCCTTCCTAAGGGTTAAACCAAACCCAGCCCTTTGGAAAGACTTGCTCCACTGCTGATTTTCGCAACAACCGACCAGCATTCCCTCTGCTAAGAGACCACCAATCCAACGTGGACTGGTTCTGGCTGGTTTACAGAGGCTGAGCACAGGATGCCTCTGGCCTCTGTTTTACCTGTTGACATACAGACCCTAATTTTACTGCATTTAAATATTAACTTAATGTTTGCTGGATCAAGTGTTGAGTCTCCACCCAAAGTGAACATGGGATGTATGTAATATGCACGTGTGCTTACTATGCACACACCCCACTTTGTGAATATTCATAGCTCCTCCTGTAACCTGCTAAATAAGTACACTTTGCCAACCCACTGGGTGTACTTTCTTGTTCCACTTGTTCCTTTCTCAAAGTGCCTGCTTATTATGGTCTCTGCCAGAGGCCATGCTTCCAAACCTACTGCATGCCTAACCTGCAGGCTGCGACCCTTTGTGAGAAATAAAGCTCTCCTTTCCAAATTTATAAACCTTGTGATTCTTCAGCTGACAACAACAAAGCAAATACAGAGCAATCTATAACTTCACAACTTTTCCTGAACCTATCCGATTTGAGATTGGAGGACAGCCCAATAACCTGGTATCACAGGAAAGACAGACACTTCCTGGGGGAGACAGGCACAGGCACCTGCTTACCTACGGCAGAGGCCCCAGGACACTGGTAAGGATTCTGCCAAAACACGTAGTGCATTGCTAACAGTGGGCAAACGACAAAATTACGGTACATTTAACTTCAAGATTTCAATTGGCTTTATTGTGACTGTAGGATTGGGCAACACTTCATTCTATGAAATAGGATGTGTTCCAATGAGCTGAATTTGGTTTTATAAACAGACAAAGGGTTGAAGAAAGCAGAAACCAAAACCAAAGAGTGTATCAGTCGTTTTAAAGCTACTTTTCTTGTAAGAGGAGAACAGGGAGTCAGGACAATAGGAACATAACTAATCAGTGACCATTAGGTTCTACTTCTTTTGTGTGAGGATTAATGCAAAGGAAACGTCAGTGCCACACCCACTAGAGATTGAGACTGACCTCTTTGGAAAACTGGCTGTTATCTCTCTCTCTCTCTCTCTCTCTCTCTCTCGATTTCTTAGACGGTCAGATAACAACTTAGTTGGGTTTGGTGATACAGAGCTTTAGCATGGGTGACTCCATGTTGATTTTCAGTCTGGACTGCTGGGGCCTAGTACATGAGCTTAGTTGAAAACAATGGCTTTCTATAATTTTTGCCCAGCAAGGCTGGGTGTAGGCTAGCCAGGGCAGGCAGATTTAGGAAGGATTTGGATGTACTTGCAGGCGCTCTCCACCTCCTTGCACTGGGGTTCTCACACAACTGTGAGGGAGTCCTGAGGAAGGAATCCTGGTGATGCAGCCACCAAGGGAAATGCACAGAAACTGCTCTGCTCTCTCACCCGATTCCTGCCACAGAGCAAAAGCTTTGACTTCCAGAAGAAGGGCAACACAGTCAGTGGCCTTTATGGTACTGGCGAAGCCCTATTGCAGCTTGGTCAAGGGAATGAAAAAAGTCCTCCATCCATGGTGGGACAGGAACACATGCTGGACCCAGAACCAGGGCAGGCAGGATCCCTAAGATCTCAATCAGAACAATGGCACACGCCCATCCCCAACCACCTTGAGGCGAGCGGGCCTGCACGGACAGGGTGGGAGTGTGAAGACAAACTATTTCTGGGGCTCAGCTGAGGAAAGGCCAAACGCTGAGGGAGTGGCAGACACTGAGAAAAACACTCTGGCCAACCAGGCCCACCTGAACATAAGGTAACCCTAGAGGAATTTAAAGTTGAAGTGCATTGAGTGTAACTATAGAACAATAAAACCCATGTTTTGGTTTTGTTGTTCTGTGGTTACACTCAGTGTACACTCAGTGTACTAGCTCAGTTCCTGCCTAGATTGACTCCCACTCCCACATAAAGTGTCAGCAGAAGGAAAGATGTGCCTATTTCCAGATATAAAACCTGTTTACCTGCATCACTTCTGGCTCACACAAGATGTCAGGCTTTCAAGGGCATACTCCAAAGTATACATACAAAAAGCAAGAAAAAAGACCCACATTGCCAAGAGACAAAGACATCAAACATAAAAGACACAGATTTTGGAACTACCAAATAATTATAATAACTATGATTAATATATTAAAGAACCTAATGAAAAATTTGGAATATGCAATCTCAGGTGGGTAGTCTCCGCAGAGAGCTGGAAACTATTAGAAATAATCAAATGGAAATGATAGAAACAACAAACCTTGGTAACAGATTTGAAGCATACTGTCAGCAGGTTCATTGACTGACTGAACTCAGCCAAGATAGGAATTGGTGAGCCTGGAGAAGGGCCAATAAATATTACCCCAACCAAAGCACAATGAGAAAAAAGGTAGGGAGAAATTACTAAAAGAGAACATGTAAGAGCTGTGGAACAAGATCAAATGATCTAACAGACATGTAACTGAAATTCTGAAAGGAGAGGAGAGAGAGAATGGAGATGAAATTATTTAGGATAAAAAAGGCTAAGCATCTTCCAAAGTGAATAACAGACATCAAACCACAAATCTGACAAGCTCAGAAACACAAAGTGGATAAATACGTTTTTGCATGCACGTGCACACACACACACGCACGCACACACACACACGCACACGCACACACACACACAAAGCACATCATATTTAAACACATATTAAAATCAAAGACAAAGAGAAAACCCCCAAGGCAGCCAGAGGAAAAAGCATATTACACGCAGGAAAAAAAAGAAAAAAAGATTATAATGGACTTTTTGTCAAGAAACTATAGTAGCCAACATGGTGAGACCCCATGGCTACTAAAAGTATAAAAATTATCCAGGCATGGTGATGGGCACCTGTAATCCCAGCTACTCAGGAGGCTGAGGCAGGAGAATCACTTGAACCTAGAAAGCAGAGGTTGCACTGAACCAAGATCATGCCACTGCACTCCAGCCTGGGCAACAAGAGCAAGACTCCATCTCAAAAATAAACAAACAAAAACCTCTGATTAAATGGCTTGGAAAAATAAGGGCTTAATTCAAGTATTTTTTCAGAAAAATAGAAATTTAAT